TCCTTCATCCATTCATGCATCTTTAACCAGCCTGACTTAATGAGACTAGGCATGTGTAACTCTGCCTTGTGGTGTGATCTAGAGCTGTTTTATTTTGTTTTGCGGTTTAGTTTTGGTTTTTTGTACATATCTCCAGATTACACTTCAGAGACACTTTGATCTTCAAAAATTATACAATGGCAAAGACTCTGCCAACTTGTGTTTGTGCGGAATATAAGGTCAGGGTTCGATGAGATTAAGAATACTGCACAGAGCACCCAATTCTTTGCTATGTTAGGGAGCCCACTTTGACAGTAGGCAAAATAAAATCCTAAACAGGTTTGCTTTTTTCAAATATATTTACCATGAGACATAATGCCATCAAATGAGAAATTGCCTAGACATAAAAACACACACCCTACAATATGCAAAAATCTTACAATCAAATACATGTATTTATTTACTTTCATTTGTTTTATAGAGTTGTTCAACACCTTTCCAAAAACATACTTTTCCCTAAGGAAGTATTGTAAAGTTGATGCAATATTGTATTTTTGTGTCTGGTAAGGTGTAGCTTGGTCCGTCTTTGACGTACTAGAAAAAACAACCCTGTGTGTATAGTAAAAAAAGGGGTGGGAGCATTACATAACTGAATTCTTATATTACTACACTTCCTTTGCTTTCACTCAGTTATTAGGACTTTTTGTACTCAAAGCATTTACTGTACACATACTTCGCTTATGAATCATTTCCTGCAATTAAAAAAAAAATTAAAGTGGCCTGGCGTTTACAACACCATGTGCTCTGCTTTTCACACACCTTTCTCTTCCTTTTTTGAAATACATATTTCTTTAACTTAAGCACTTAACCAGTATCGGCTGCTTCCTCTTGAAAAGGGGTGTGTTTTGAGAGTTTGTATAAAATCCCCCCCAGCTGAGCACTGGTGTGAACTGGGCCGTTCCATTTTATTTTAGTTTTCATGGTATGTTTGTCTGCTACAGGGTGCACACTACAAGAAATATAACAAAGCTTCTGCTGGGTTAAAAGGCTACAACCTTATTGCAATGATTCGCTAAGAGCCTTGGGGAACAAAACAGTGTCAAAATTGCCTGCTGGGTCCAGGTGACCTGATAGCAGACCAATGTGATTGCTGAGGGGGAATATAAACACAATGATTCTCCTGCCGACCGAGCAACTGGATTCAGTGTTTTGTGTAGTAAGTTGGAGCCAGCTGATACCATGATAAAAATATTTTGATTCTTTCTTATGCTGTTCCTTGTGCCATTAGTGAAGAAAGCTGGAAACTGCTGTAAGCCAACAACTAATGTTTTATTTAGTTTTAACATAGGCCACATTCACACCATGTAAATGTACCATCTGTCAGGGATTTTTCAGCTGTGATTCTTGTGCTGCAGGAAGTTAAGCTAGGTGGCCCTTGGGGTCTCTTCCAACTCCACAATGTTATGTTTCTGTGGTCACATTCACACCATATATTTAAAGCTCTAAGAAGCCGCTCAGAACAGTCGTGGCTTCCCCCGGATAATTCTGGGAGCTGCAGTTTGTTAGGAGACTCCTCTTTTCTCTAAGAGAGCTACAATTCCCAGAGTTCCTTGGAAGGAGGAATGGATTGTTAAACCACTCTGGGAATCATTTCTTGGGTGAGAGGTTTCCTAATAACTCTCAGTACCCCTAACAAGGGATGCGGGTGGCGCTGTGGGTTAAACCATAGAGCCAAGGACTTGCTGATCAGAAGGTAGGTGGTTCGAATCCCCATGACGGGGTGAGCTCCCATTGTTCGGTCCCTGCTCCTGCCAACCTAGCAGTTCGAAACCACGTCAAAGTGCAAGTAGATAAATAGGTACCACTCCAGCGGGAAGGTAAATGGTGTTTCCGTGCACTGCTCTGGTTCGCCAGAAGCGGCTTAGTCATGCTGGCCACATGACCCGGAAGCTGTACACCGGCTCCCTCGGCCAATAAAGCGAGATGAGCGCCGCAACCCCAGAGTCAGTCACGACTGGACCTCATGGTCAGGGGTCCCTTTACCTTTTTATCCCTAACAAACTACAGATCCCAGAATTCTCTGGGGGAAGCCGTGACTGCTTCAAACGGCATCACAGCTGTTTACATGTATTGTGCGAATGTGGCAGCAGAAGACCTCTATCACAATCAACCTTACATCTTTTGCTGTTTCTGCTCTGTCCAAACCCCTTCACTCCTTCCTTAATCCTTCCAGCCCAGCTCTTTCTTAGATGAGCCTTACTCTCACACTTCCTTATCAAATTGCATAGGAGCAAACTTAGGGTTGCCATATTTTGAAGAGCAAAAAAGAGGATGCATTTGCTGACTTCTACTTCTAACTATGGACCGCTATGATAACTCTACCCATGAAAAAGAGGGCACATCCTGGAAAAAGAGGGCATATGGCAACCATAGACGATTGATCCATCTAGTTCAGTATTGTCTACACTGAGTAGCAGTGGCTCTCCAGGTTTTCAGGTAGGAAACTTTCTCAAAACAACCTAGAGATGCTGGGGATGGAATCTGGGTGCTTCTTCTGCATGTGAGACAGATGCTGTGCCACTGAACTAAAGCCCTTCCCTTTGGGTCTGCATTATGCTGCATACAACATGTTTTGCAATATTGCGCTGCTCCAACATCCCACTTGAAACTGACAGCCTCTTAACAAGAAGCAGGGCAGGGGAACGAGACACTGCTCAAACTTCTAAAAGCAAACATCACTAAACAAACCATTGTTTAATACTTTGCTCATACAAAGCAATTATAGGTAGTTAAGTCCAGCAGATAAACTCTTCTGGCTGAACTTAAAATGTTGTTGTGACCCCATGGACCAGAGCACACCAGGTACTTCTGTCTTCCACTGCCTCCCGCAGTTTGGTCAGACTCATGCTGGTAGCTTCAAGAACACTGTCCAACTATCTCGTCCTCTGTCGCCCCCTTCTCCTTGTGTCCTCAGTCTTTCCCAACATCAGGGTCTTTTCCAGGAAGTCTTCTCTTCTCATGAGGTGGCCAAAGTATTGGAGCCTCAGCTTCACAATCTGTCCTTCTAGTGAGCACTCAGGGCTGATTTCCTTAAGAATGGAGAGGTTTGATCTTCTTGCAGTCCATGGAACTCCATGGACAAAGAACTTAAAATAGCTGCGTTCAAAACCCAGCTCTCCCCTGTTCCATAGCAGCAAGTTACAATATATCAGACTCATGTTCCCATCTGCAAAATAGAAACTTTAAGCAGGGTTCTGTCTATAATGTAAGTGTAGTTTTCAAGCTCAGAAACTGATATTGGATGCATCTTTATTAGAAAATTTCGTGCAAAATTCCAATGCACAATAAACTCTTAAGGTTGTCAGTGCATAACCCAATACATGTAGACAATGAGTGCACAAATATGGCAAGCTGAAAGGAACCTTTGACCATTATAAAAGCACGGAAGCAAATGAAGTGATACCAGACTGGTTAGAGGTCTACCTGCAAAGCAGGTATGACTTTACAATTAGAGTGCGGTTCACTGTGGAATTTGTCATCTATTAAACTCCCTGGTTATGTAGACATGATTTTGTATATTCATTTCAGTAAATGGATAGCTAGTTAAATGAACTTGACCACTTCCTTTTCTTACACAGGACTGCAAAGTTCCCCAACACAAGAAGTGCCTTATTTTAGAAAATTAAATATAGTTTGTGGGTGATATCGAATGTCACACCATACGGCCTAGTGAGATACCACTCAAAGATTTTGTGTCTACATTATAAAGAACCAAAACCCAATTCCCCCCTGCTTCCCTCACAAGTTTATATTTATACTATCAAATGATGTCATAAAATACCAAGCTGGTTTGCTCTTTGCTTATCTGTTTACTTAAAATACTTTCTTCTGGAATATGATTTCCTTACTCTGATGAGCCAATCCAATGAAATTCAGCCCAGCCAAAATTGGGCATTAAAGATGAATGCTTAAGGTATGAACACTCATTTTTCTGCAAAACTGAATGCAATGAAATCTCCCACTCTGCATGTAATCTGCTAATTGCGATTTAGATTTTTCAATTGTACCATTTGAATATTTGTTTTTTTAAAGATATGTGTGCGTGTATGCACTCAATGTGTATAAACATGTAAAATGCCTGTGATGATATCTACTGACTTATACTGAGACTGAGCCACAGACTGATTCTAGTAAATATCCCTTTTGGAATCCAACAGTCTACCAAAATTTTGTAGAACCCTTTACTCCAGCTATCAAATGGGACAGATTACTGTGCAAAATTCCCTTGGCTGAGTCCACCCATTTCTTGTCTATATTAAGCAGTGGATCAGCCATGGAAAAACAGAGTGTAGATTTATGGGGTAAGCAGTATGTTCTATGGAACATGATGTTCTGGAATAAGGACATATATAGCATGTAATCAAACAAACCTAACTGCTCTAACTACCCCCAAATTCCCACAAGACCAAAGCATGCAGGAAATGACTGGCCAATTGTGCAACAGAGTCAGTATATATCTCACTGATTGTATTTTACAGTACTATGTTCTTACACTTTGGGCGAGTCCAAACGTTTTCACTCATTACTTTCAGCAAGGTATTGACACATTTCCTTGTCTAGATCTCTATTGCCAGCCTTTGAATTTATGATATTTAATCCCCAAAGAAATAACCTCCCTGCTGTTCTCACCCGACTCCTTCCCTGTTGTTCCTCTGAGGAGCCTTCACAATGTGGTTGATTTGCATGTTCACCACAAATTTTCAGTTTTTATTTGACATCCATGCTAACCCCTCCCCTGCTATCTCCTCCCTGTCATATGGAGTAGCACTGGGTTCCCCAAACTGTGGTCCACAGACCACCAGTGATCTGCAAGCTTCATTCAGGTGGCCCACAAGAAGTCTGTAGATTTCTGGCTGAAGATGGGAGACGTCACATCCACTGTGTTAAACATTCAGATGGACTGTCAATTGTATTTTAATTGCTTTTTTTATTCCTTATATTGTCTCCTGTCTATCCTGCCAGCCTAGATAGCTCAGTTGGTTAGAGCGTGCTGTTGATGATGCCAAGGTTGCAAGTTCAATCCCCTATGGGACAGCTGCATATTCCTGCATTGCAGGGGGTTGGACTAGATGATCCTCAGGGTCCCTTCCAATGCTACATTTCTACGTATTCTATGAAATTCAATATATAAGTGGGAAAGAAGCAATAAAACACAATTAAAAATTGGGGGTTGGACTAGGTGACTCTTGGGGTCCTTTCCAACTCTACAGTTCTCTGATTCCTACAGCGTCCAGCAAGGCACATTGCAATTGCTACAATGGGCAGAAAAACCTGGAAGTGGCCCACCACAACCCACAGCAATGTTTGAGTGATTTATGATGGGTGGTGGGTTAAGATCCCCTGGACTATGAGAGACAGTGTAGACTGGTTACATACCTGGGCAAACCATGTCACCTGAAACCACCTCATGGTCTAGCCCAGGCAGAGGCAAACTCGGACCTCCAGATGTTTTGAGACTACAATTCCCATCATCCCTGACCACTGGTCCTGTTAGCTAGGGATGATGGGAGTTGTAGTCCCAAAACATCTGGAGGTCCGAGTTTGCCTATGCCTGGTCTAGCCTGCAAAGAAAGGTGCTCTGCATGTAAGAAAAGCATAAACATAGGAAGCAGTCCTAAGATACCCCCAGTGTAAACACATAAATAACAGTTGTGCAAATAGATATATTTTTTCCTGTTACATAATCTCTTTTTAACCTCATGTGCAGGTCATGACCTTATCACCCCTGCATACTATTGATAATGACTGGAAGTAGCGTAGAGCTCAGTATCCCTGACACACAGCTTTCCCCTAACAGCCTCCATGGTCTTTCTAGATAGAATCTCCACAAAGTCTGAACTATACAGCTTTAAAAGGTGATGTTCAAACACTGCACAAACTCTACAGTAGTCCAATGCTCTTCATACATTGGAGATGCTTTCTGTACCAGCACATCAAAGGATCAATATTCCCACTGTTATTTCTGCAGAGTATATCAGCATTAACATCCATATGATTCTGTTCTTCTGTAAAAAATATTATTTATGTTAGTACATTTCTCTTCGACTATTCCTCTGCTCTTTCCTCTAACATAACCCATTGTGCATTTTATTTTATTTTTAATTGCTATCTCAAACCCTTAAAAACTAAAAATAGAAATAAATAATCCCTACACTAAAGAGGTTTAATAGGTGGGGAAGGGATGTATATAAAAGGGAGATCCTTCATTTAATAACAAGGTGAATCACAAGCACTTTATAAAGTTATAATGTTATTTTGTTTATGTTTTGTTTATGTTTTGTTTGATATACTTGATCAGGAAATCTACCTGCTGCTGGATAGCTCAGTCAGTTGCTGGATAGCTCTGTCAGCAGAGCATGACACTCTTAATGAGATTCTTAATCTCAGGGTTGTGGGTTCAAGCCCCATGTTGGGCAAAAAATTCCTGCATTGCAGAGTGTTAGACTAGATGACCTTTGTGGTCCCTTCCAACTCTACAACTCTATCTACCCACTGCTGTAGAATATTCACTCTTTCTCCTATTAAGGAGTATTATCTATGAAAACAATCCTTCCTGATGATCTCAAGAGGGAAATGGGGGGTTATGTTCCTTATACTGCCCTGTAAATCCTCAGTATAAATTACATGCTGGCATCATAAACCAGAAAATTATCAGACAGGTATAATAATAATAATAATAATAATAATAATAATAATAATAATTTATTATTTATACCCCACCCATCTGGCTGGGCCTCCCCAGCCACTCTGGGTGGCTTCCAACAAAATATTAAAATACAGTAATCATTAAACATTAAAAGCTTCCCTAAACAGGGCTGCCTTCAGATGTCTTCTAAAAGTCTGGTAGTTGTTGTTCTCTTTGACATCTGGTGGGAGGGCGTTCCACAGGGCGGGTGCCACTACCGAGAAGGCCCTCTGCCTGGTTCCCTGTATATAACAGCAGGCAATTTTGCTAGGGTGGAACAACTAATCTGAATAGCATGTGAAGGAGAAGAGAACTAAACTACACATTACAGTATTTAAATGTACAGAATAATTGCAAACTATTTCTTTTTTGTGCATACATGAATGTGACTATTCAAAGGTATTATATCATTAACATAGCCTTGTGTCTTCATATTCTTTTGCAGTTTCGTTTTTGTTTATCTTACTTATAATGCTCAACCAAAGAACGATGTCATGTCAGCTTGCTTCTCTCACGTTCAGTGCAGTCAATATATTTTTTTTGCTGAGTAATACTGTGGGTGGAGCACAACTTAACGAGGAGAAAGCATGACGCAGCAACTGTAGAAATACTTAGAAGTACAGTAGTATAAACAGGAAAAGAGGCCAGTCAACCTTTATTATATCCATGCTCCCGTTGTAAAACGAAGTAAATAATTAACTGAATAAATAATTAATAATTATAATAAATAATAAATAATTAACTGAAAAAACAGAAGAAGGCTTCCAGCTTCATCACAGTGACATAGCTAAATCTCTTAACTGGCACTGAAGTCAAGGTGACTGTTTTAAGTATGCTGGGGGAGCAGAGGTTAGAGAAATCCTGTTTGCATAACTGGGAGTCTGTTGTGCAAGCAGAAAGCCACAACTGGATATCACGCTATATATCAACAGTTCCCAAACAGCAGTGGTCCACAAGCTTCATTCAGGTGGTCCACAGCTTGTGCTCATTGATCACTGATTTTTAATTGTATTTTTATTGCTTCGTTTATTTCTCCTGCCATCGCATTACAATATGAATTCTGTGAAATGCAGGTTGCAATGCAATAAAATACAATACACAAGAAATAAAAGGAACAATGAGAATAAGAATTAAAATCATACTGTGACTAGCACAGCATGTTATAATTGCTACAACTGGCAGAAAAATCGTTAAGTGGTTCGCCAAAATCATCAGAAATTTTCAAGTGGTCTGGGCTGAGAGGGAGTTTGGGAACCACTGCTTTATATTTTACTGTTGCAGCAGGTAAAATATGTAACATGTCTGCTCAGTAAACCCCACTGAGTTGAACTGGGCTTACTCCCAAGCAGGATTGCAGTGCAAAAAAAAACAAAAAAAAACCAGAAACCTATTTACTAGGACCATTATTTCTCCATAAACATTGGGTAATATGAAACGAAATTTTACACAGAGCATACCCACTGAAATAAATGAACATGACTAAGTTAGGGCCATGAAATATAGTAAAAGGTAAAGGACCCCTTCTATTTGCCAGGAGGTGATGGGACCAGTGGCCATGATCTTAGTTTTTTTGATGTTGAGCTTCAGACCATGTTTTGTGCTCTCCTCTTTCACCCTCATTAAAAGGTTCTTTCATTCCTCCTCACTTTCTGCCATCAAGGTTGTGTCATCTGCATACCTGAGGTTGTTGATATTTCTTCCAGCAATCTTAATGCCGACAAAGGTCTGTATAGTTAAAGCTATGGTTTTCCCAGTAGTCATGTATGGAAGTGAGAGCTGGACCATAAAGAAGGCTGATCGCCGAAGAATTGATGCTTTTGAATTATGGTGCTGGAGGAGACTCTTGAGAGTCCCATGGACTGCAAGAAGATCAAACCTATCCATTCTTAAGGAAATCAGCCCTGAGTGCTCATTGGAAGGACAGATCCTGAAGCTGAGGCTCCAATACCACATCATGAGAAGAGAAGACTCTCTGGAAAAGACCCTGATGTTGGGAAAGATTGAGGGCACAAGGAGAAGGGGACGATAGAGGATGAGATAGTTGGACAGTGTTCTCGAAGCTACCAACGTGAGTTTGACCAAACTGTGGGAGGCAGTGGAAGACAGGAGTGCCTGGCGTGCTCTGGTTCATGGGGTCACGAAGAGTCGGACACGACTAAGCGACTAAACAACAACAACAAAGGACCCCTGGATGGTTAAAGTCCAGTCAAAGGCAACTATGGGATTGTGGCACCCATCTTGCTTTCAGGCCGAGGGAGCCAGCATTTGCCCACAAACAGCTTTCCGGATCATGTGGCCAGCATGAGTGAACTGCTTCTGGCGCAACGGAACACTGTGATGGACACCAGAGTGCATGGAAACGACGTTTACCTTCCCATCACAGCGATACCTGTTTATCTACTTTCACTGGCATGCTTTCGAACTGCTAGTTTGGCAGGAGCTGGGACAGAGCAACAGGAGCTCACCCCATCACAGGGATTTAAACCGCCGACCTTCTGATTGGCAAGCCCAAGAGGCTCAGTGGTTTGGACCACAGCGCCACCCGCATCCCCATGAAATACAGTATGTCCACTCTGAGTAGAATTTAGTTGACTACCACCCAAGACCCGTGAAAGGTTCTCTGTTTCATCCAATTCACAGGCAAATACTTAGCTCCCACACTACCCAAACGGCACTACTAGGCTCATTCAGTTCCATTTACAGTTCAATTGAATTGAAATTTACCAGTATACTTGCAAGTATACTGGTAAGTTCCGGTGCATCCGCTTGCAAGTTTCTGAGAAGCAAAATAAGGGCATGTTGAAAACAGCAGGCCACAGGCATTTATATCCCAGATGCATATATCCCAGATGCATCCTTCCAGAGGATAGGACCTTTCTCCAAAAAGGCACCATTTATACTTAATTATTCTTATTACTAGTTCTATCACAGCACTCATGCATATCTAAGCAAACAGGTCAGCCTGACCAGACTTACATGAAATAAGAGTAATTTGCTTAAAATGAGAGTGCCTGGAAAAAGCAAGATTTTGGACCACAGTTAACAACAAGTTCCAAAATTAGTATTAACACCCATTAAATTTCAGTGGACCTTATTCCCAGGTAAATGGGTTCAGGACTGCAGCCTAAGATGCTAATTCGTGTATTCTGATTTGGCCAGCCAAAGTTATGAAATATGGATATGCCTTGTGTTTATTCATATTTGTTCAGCTGACTTCATGAAACATCTTTACTGTTTTATTCCCTTGTACTCATGCAAATCCTAAATATGAGACAATATACACAGCCTCTACCCTCATCCATCAATTGTGAAAAAGATCTCAGATTTCTTCATTTTTAAAAAAGGCACTGGTTAATAACAAGCTTGTCTGGAGACTTAAGCACATGTTAGGCTAATTTCATGGCTCACAGCCATGCAAGGGGATTTTAAACATTTAATCCTAGGCACAGGAGGGGCAATGTGTGTTACTGAGTGTATGGCATTTTCTTGATGGTCAACCATATAAAACTATTTCCATCTTGACCACAGCACAAAGATAAGTTTCAGCTTTTGCTCCCCAGTCACCATCCTGATGGAATATCCTCTGCCCTGCAATTAATGTCAGTAAAGAGCTCTCATTAGTCTCAATGGAATTTGCGCACACCTCTAAGATTTAATTGTTCAAATCCCCTGATGTGGCTGTGAGCCATGCGATTAATATAACATTAGTTATTTAGGTCTTCGGCTTATTTACTAATTTAAGAAATGTAATCGTCGCCGTTCGAAATAAAAGCTTCCCAAGCTCCAGAGCCCAGACTGAAGGAGATGATGAACTCTAGACAACCTAAGCCCTCTTCCCATGTTACTTGTGTCTATGCATAATTGTGTTAATGGAAGAAACGGCCAACATTTAGCCCCACCCATAATGCCATGGCTTACTGCCTGCCCCTGCCTTTGCTGTTACTTACAGTCCTTGATAATTAGGGTTGTTAATCACACTGGAAGCCTCCATATGTAAAGACACGTCAAAGTATACATTATCCTGAACATAGTAACAGATGGTAAATATAGGGACAGGAGAAGCAGATTGTGGCGGATTATGACTGCTAGGAATTTTTTTGGGGGGGGGAGATTTGGAGGTGGGTAAAGAAAACACTGAAAGAGGGAAACAGGCTAATTTCTCACAAAAATAATAATGTCTGCACATTTTCATCTTGCATCTCAGGTTCTACAAATGCTAGAAACTTTTAACGAAACGTGTGCAGATGAGGAAAACCAAGATGATCAAAGGTCTAGATACCAAGCCTTATGAGGAATGGTTGAGGGAGCTGGGTATGTTTAGCCTGGAAAAGAGAAGACTGAGGAGATATGATAGCCATCTTCAAATATCTCAAGGATTCACTGCCACATGGAAGAAGAAACACACTTATTTTCTCCCGCTGTGGAGGGTAGGACTCGAAACCAATGGCTTAAAATTAGAAGAAAGGAGTTTCCCACTAAACGGTAGTCGTTGTTGGGCAGTGGAAAGGTCGCCCCTGAGATTTTGTAGACTCTCCTTCCTTGGAGGTTTATAAGCAGAGGCTGGATGACCATCTGTCATGGATCCTTTAGCAGAGATTCCTGCATTGCAGGGGGTTGGACTAGATGACCCTTGGGGTCCCTTCCAACTCTAGGATTCTGTGATTCTTGACAATATAAAATCTGACGGTTATGGTTCATGGAGTGGGGAGCAACTGCCCCCTTACCCTCTCCCCCCACCTCAAGATGTCCAGGACGAAAGAAGAGGGAATCAATAGTGGGGCAGCAACTAAATTCTCAGTGATGAAACGCGCCTCGCATACAACCGCATTGTTATGCATTTCAAACATATCCTATTTCCATCACACATCATGTGTCTTCCGTATCTTGATCGGCTTCAATCCTTTTCCTACACAGGATGTGTGCAGAGCAATGCAGCTTTATTGTGGGCAAAGCCAACCCAGCGCACAAACACGCCGGAGCTTGCTTCTTCTCGCCATTGTAACATCCACTGCATTGTGTCCCGGGCTGTGTTTGCTCCGGCTTCGGCGCGGATGCTTTGAACCAACCTGCCCTGCCTGCCCCGCCCTGGGCGAAGAGAGGTGACTAAACGCCTCGTCATGTGACCGGGAGGGGCGGCGGCCACGCGCTCCGCTATCAGGGCAGCAGCAGCAGTGGAAAATTTTCAGTCTTTTCGGGGGTGCGCGCGCAGCTGAGGATACGCCGCTATCACTTCTCTATCTCTAGAACATTCCCGTCAAGCGGTGACGGGGGGGGGGCGGAGATACTTCCGGAGCGGCTCCTGGAGCCATAACACAGCGGTGCCTCAAAGGGGTGGGGTTGGCGCCTTTCCAGTGAGCGCCCTTGTACTTGGTAGGGCTTACTTCCGAGTAAACCACGCCGAATAACGTGGGGAGCTGCTGAGGGCTTTCTGTTTTGGAAGCGCGCGGCATGGCTTCCCCCAGGCGAGGGAGGGCCGCTTGAAACCAATGAAGGCGCCAAAAAGAGCGAGGCGCGCGCGCGGTAGGGGCTGTTGCAAAGGCATCCCCCCCCCCCCACACACACACCCGCCAAGCTGTGGGGAAAGACCGGCATCTCTCTCGTGCTGTGTCTCCTCCTCTCACCCACCCAAGCGGGGCTGCTTGGCGCCGTAGCTTCCGTCCCGCACTTAGCACAGAAACGGCGGGAAACAAACCCCCTCCTTGAAATGCACAGAACGGGGTCTCCTCTGGACCGCGCAAAAAGAGCCCTTCAGGAGCAAAAACGGGGCGCGTGTGTGCCGTGTGTCATGCGATCGATTATGCGAGGTGGGGCATTACCTGCCCCCCCTCCAGTATTTTATTCAAGTTGGCACCGTTGGGGGTGGATGCCTACCCCACCCCCAATCAAGTGAAATAAATGAAGATGCTTAACTGAAAGTAAAAATTGTAGAAAGATTTCGACAAGTTTTTCTGAGCACTTGGGGTCAAAACAAAGTCATTTAAAACAACTGTTGTTGAGACATGTCCTGCTGGACAGAGCCAGGCAGAGGATGAGGACAGGTGGGTGCCCTGCTCTCCCCACAACATAAATCCCATGCTCCTACCTGGGAGACTAATCCATAAAATCCTGGCTTTCATTTGAAAATAGAAACCCCAAATGGGTTTCGAGCATTGATAGCACCTGGGATATGTGGCAAAATATACAGATATTATTCTCATTATTTTCGAGTGGTTTCCTCCTCTCAGTGTTCTGTTGACTGTTTTGTTCTGTTGAAAAACTCCTACAGGTGGGGCGAGAGATATCTTACCAGTGAAAGCCCACCACAGATGCATGGTCACCCCCACCACCCCAGTTTTTCAAGATGGCTCACAGCGCGATCCTATCCATGCCTATACAGTGGTCAGTCCCATTTTCAATTACTCCCATATATATATGCCTGCAGCCTCAGTCTCCAGAGTTCTTGGAATATGCTCTCTCAGAAGTAATTCAAGGTGTGAAGAGTCAATGGGGTTCTATTGGGGTGGTGGTAAGAAGTAAATAATGACTTGTACACTGAAACATCTGAGATATCTATATGCAAGGTGAGCTGTGGAATAGAGTGCACTATGAGGTGAGAAATATAAGGGCAAGAGAGATTCAGATGGACCTGATGGTTAGCTGGTGGTGTAGCATAGCATAGCATAGCATAGCAGGATGTCAAACTAGGTCTACTGAAACCCATCTTTGAATTCTACTCAGCCTTGAATATCACTGGGGGGTGTTGGACCAATCGCTCTCTCAGACTAACCTATCTCACAGAGTTGGTGTGAGAATAAAATGTAGCAAAACCCTATCTATATTGAACTTCCTGGCAGGAAAAGAGTTTACATGTAATAGATACTAGTAGCTAAGAGAACAAAAAGAAAGAGGCATCTCATATCTACAGAGGGGGGAAAACAAAAAGAGAGGGCGCCGTAAACCTTTATGTTTTGTGGCACAGCATGGTTATTTGTGTTTTTAAGTAGGGTAAAGGTGGTGAACTAACTTCTAGCAATGTGCCCTTTTTGTACACATTACGTTTCTATGTATGATTGAATTCCATTTAGTTACAATGTTGGCAGAAACTCTCTGCAGGAATGTAAGTAAACTCAATATAAAAGATGTGCAAGTTGCCACAAGACTAAACCTGGTTATTAGCTGCTTCCCAAGTCCTTATTTCTGTGAAAGTTTGATGCAGCTGAATTAGCTGGAACTGAAGTTTATAAGCCCCTGCATCTCAAAATAAGGCTTTGGGCTACTTTGTTTCAGGTATTACAATGACTGTGGGAATGATATCTTCCAAGATGCACAATCATTCTCTCCAATCAAAATCACTGGTTTTGTGCAGCACTTTTATGTGCAGTGATTCCGAAGAACCCTTACAGATAAGGAACTGTGCATCCCAAACTGAATTTTGGGCTGCTACAAATAATCCATCCACACCTCCAGGAGAGTGTCCTGTTCAAGAAGCCCCATTCATGTCTATCTGAATACTTCATTTTGGTGCAACACATTGTGAAGCTCCTGCCCCATGCCAGTAATCAAGATACAAATAAAGCATGCATCCATTCCTTAAAGTGTGTCCTCTATGAGGAATTTTAGCATCACATTTGACCCAACACTTTTCTTTTGCTCAATTCACTATCAAGGCCCCTGGCCCCCCGACAATTGCTTAATGAATAATGAACTGTGTATGTGTGTGTGCCAGACTAAGATTTGGGCTACAACAAAATACACACCTAGAATTCCAGGAGTGTGCCGCCTTCTACATGTTGACCTAACATTGCATCCAGCCTAACACTTTGGTTGTGGTGCAAGGCAGCACCAAACTTGTTGTTTCCATGCCAATAACACATTGATAGATTTTTGTATGGGGCAGTATGCTTTAGACTGAGCATCCTACAGCAAAGGAAGGCAGTGGACTGCAGCTAATGCTAGGTGTCTCAATGAGGGCACTCTTCAATATACTATTTAGGATGGCCCGAAACGTATCCATTTTGACATAAATTGCCAATTATTGCTGTGGGCTCAGTGCACTTGATGGCGTTTTGCATATAAACAAAGCACTGGCTCCTTTTTGAGACTGCTTTCATGGAAGTTTGGATTATAGAACTAAGAATGTCTAACTAATTTCAGCCTCATTAAGTGAACCTCAGAGTGATTTGAAATGTGCATCCCCGCTCTCACTCAAGTTTTCATTTGTTCTGCGCAGAGCACATTTTATCCATTAAACAGTTCAAACACTACGTGTAACATCCACACATTATGGAAACATTGTCCCATTACAACTACCATTATATCAGTGAGAAATGAAATTTATTCATAGTTCAAGGGGGACTGGAATATTTTCAGCCTTGGTTGGGCTACCCCAGGGTGGGCAGAAGGTGCATATTCAATAAGGTTCAACAAGGTTTCTGACTCCCAGTTAATTTGCAACGGCAACAACAAAAAGGCACATACAAACACACTCCAAATTTGGCTGCTAGGTAATGGGAGGAAGGAACTGGGAGTGTGGTTTTTTTGTGATAGGACTATGAATTCAGTTCTGGGAATAAAAACTGGGCTGAGCAAGTGGTCAGATATACCCTGGGTCCTTATTCTAAGGGGGTGTTGCCTGCCTCCACCATCCCAGCCACTATTTTGCACCTGACTCTGCTTAGAGGGCTTTGGGATTCTAGTGAAAGCAAAACAAAGTGGACCCTGCAGGACTGAAGTCTGCCTTCCCCTGAAGAAACATCTTGCATTCTGTAAATAAATGTGTCTTCCTTGTAGTTGCCAAGTAGAATTTCTCCTTCCCCAATTTGAAGATTGTTCAAAGCATTTGAAAGGGGAACTTGCACACCCCTCCACTGTGTTGAAATTTATTTTAAGACTTCCTTTTCAGACATTACAGTTCTTTCTACTTCTCCAATCCAAGCTTGGTTTGAGAGTGTGAAAAGTGAATACATTTCATTGGTTGTTCTCCAGTGGGTTGTGGATTCTATGTCCTGAACTGAAAGTTCCATTTTCATATTATCCAAGCATTTAGGTTGTGTGGAACTACATGTATGCCAAATTTTCATTTTTGTATCTGTTCATCATCATCTTTACTGCTGAGATTTGTCTTGGCAAAAACCAGTTTGAGAAGTCAATGAAAAACTTAGGCTGCAATCTTATACCCCTAATGTGAACTCAATGGGACTGACTTCTGAATAGGCATGCATAGGGTGGCACTTAGTGTTTCATATCCCGATAAGATGGTGTCTTCATGCTCAACATGATCCTAGGCAGTTTTTGTTGTAAAGTGACTACAGCTCCTGGAACTACATCAATTTAATACTGCTTTAATACTGAAATGATTATAATAAGTGTTGTTTGTGTTTTTTTCTGTGGGACTCAAGTGGGACTTATTCCCATGTGAGTGAACACAGGATCACCAAATAAGGCTACCCCACCTACCTGGGAGTAAACCCAATTAAATTAACCATGCTGTTACTCATCTCTTTCAATCATGCTATTATGAGCTCTAATATTTGGGAGTCAAGTCAGGACTGGTCCTGCCATTAGAAACAGTGAGACAACCACCCCAGCTGGCAGAAGTTGGAGGCAGCATTCTCTCACTGTTTCTCCTGAGCTTCTCAGCTATTTCCCTCTGTTGCCACATGACCACTCCTAGGTCCCCTAATCTGGCCTGCAGTCTCAGGTGTGGTGGATGCTATCCTGTCACAAGCAATTAAAATAAGATTCAAGAGCTTGTCCAGCCAGCTTTTGTACATGGAATGGGTAAGGGGCATATGTCAAGCTGCAAAATGTCTTGACTTGTCCCTGGTTCAGTTACAAATCCAAAGAGTGTTGCTCCAGGATAGCTATTTGTATTCAAGAATGAGACTAGCTTTCATGCTGTCACCAAGCACAGCTGACACTGCTGTTTACAACTGGGCAGAAACTAGGGGCACCTGCAAGAAAATGTTGGGGGGTCCAGGCAGCCAGCCATGCCTTTTTCCTCTCTGGGTTCCCCTCCTATCAATGTGGTGTCATTTGTGTGTGTGTGTGTGTGTGTGTGTGTGTGTGTGTGTGTGTACTTCTGCTAACTTTGGGGCTCCCCCAAGCCTGCTGGTCCAATTTCAGCTACATATGGAGCCGCACTCAGAGAATCTGTTCTCCATTAGCACAGGGTGTAGTCCTTGTTGTTGTTTAGCCGTTTAGTCGTGTCCAACTCTTCGTGACCCCATGGACCAGAGCACGCCAGGCACTCCTGTCTTCCACTGCCTCCCACAGTTTGGTCAAACTCATGCTGGTAGCTTCGAGAACACTGTCCAACCATCTCGTCCTCTGCCTTCCCCTTCTCCTTGTACCCTCAAACTTTCCCAACATCAGGGTCTTTCCCAGGGAGTCTTCTCTTCTCATGAGGTGGCCAAAGTATTGGAGCCTCAGCTTCAGGATCTGTCCTTCCAGTGAGCACTCAGGGCTGATTTCCTTAAGAATGGATAGGTTTGATCTTCTTGCAGTCCATGGGACTCTCAAGAGTCTCCTCCAACACCATAATTCAAAAGCATCAATTCTTCAGAGATCAGCCTTCTTTATGGTCCAGCTCTCACTTCCATACATCACTACTGGGAAAACCGTAGTCCTAGGAATCAAAATAGTCAAGTCAGGAAGAGAACTGACACTTACTAAATTGCTCTCAAAGAGTTTCCCAAATGTACTTTTCAGCCCTCCTTCAAAAGAAAAACATGCCACTTACAGAAAGCATTGGCAGATGTCAAAGCTTCCAAACAATACAGGAGCAAAACAAAGAAATGAACTACAGCAAACTTTGGGGGGGGGGGGACATATTCCAATATAATAGAATCACTTGTGATCTTACTACTATGCTGCCTAGATTACGTTTGTGGGAAGCACAAAGGTTACTGAAGCACGGTTGTTTGCCTCTGTTCTCAAAACCCTCTATCCCTTTCCTGAATCTTTCATTAATAGATGGGTTGGCTCAGAGGAAAATTTTAAAAATACAATATTTATTTTTGTATTTAAAAGGCTGGGGATGGGGAGCTAAAAAAACACACACACACTAGAGCATAGAAACACACTCATGGAATGAAATTTATTTATTTATAGATATTTCTTTTATATGTTTGTGTTTATTTCTTCCTAACCCAGTGCAAGGAGTTGAAAGAAAATCTTGCTTTTCCCAGGGTGAAAGAATTGTAAAATACATCTATGAATTAAAAATGTATGTCAGGCTTGGGTAGATTCTGTTACTTGGTTATTCTGTTTAATTCTGGCAGAGTTTCCATAAAGTGTATCTATAAATGCCCAGCACCACAGTTACATAAGGAATGAGTAATACTCATTAAAGGCATGCACACAAGTCAGGGCAGTTCATATAATTTTCCTCCTGGATATGTTATATCATTATCATGTGATATTAACAGTATCCTAGACTTAACTGGAAATTGTGACTTAGGTGGTTAATAATACAGAATGACAACTGAGTCCTGAATTCATACCCTCAAAATCTAATACAGTACCGTATACCATAAGCAGAATTTTTGTTCTTATTAGACAAAAGTTTTAGCAGCCTTGGTGGTACAAGAAAACATGAGTTAAATAAGGTTGGAAATGTTTTGTTTTGGTTTTATTGAGTCACACAAAATCTTCAGATGCAGTGTTCCCACGGTGGAAGTCTTCCTTTTGGCACCATTTTCACCCATACCCCATCTCATCTAAGCATTTTAAAACCATAGGTTTTATCAGTCAGTTTTGGTAACATCTGAGGACTTAGGAGATGCTGTGGTTGTATACATATGATCAGTGCTTTTTTCTTTAAAAAAGTTAAAAATGCTTAGGGGTACTCTCATTTTCCTACTCATATTGAAATACTGCCCCTCAATGAGGCCAAACTTAATTTCACAAAATGTTTAGGAGTATGTGCACCCCTGCGTACCCCCATGGAAAAAAGCACTGCATATGATAATTCAGTGATGTTACATTTATCTATGAAATCAGCAGCTGGTGGACCAAAAATTAGACTAGTGAGCTGTGGTGGCATTTCAGAAAACATTACCGTGTCCAGAGGGTGTTCTGTACAATTTAGTATAATTTACAATTTGGTTTGATTTGTGTTGGGGGCAGAAGGACACGCACCTGTCATCATCCTCTGTCTGGCTCTGTTTAGCAGATTTGGAATGAAATGTTTCAACAACTTGAATAGCTTCTTCAGCTAATACATAAATCCGGCACTGCAAACGAGACTGTGTTGTTCTGGTTTTGCAGATGGGGAAACTGAGGCCGAAGGCATCCACGGGACCCAGAAAAAAAAAACTTAGGATCCAAAAGCAAAGCCCTGCCCCCATTGTAATTTGAAGCCTCCATCATTTCGAAGAATCGCCGGCGTCGAGTTTCGCCCTGCTGCTAAGTAACAGCCTCGTGATCCGCTTCTTGTGCGGGAAAGAGTTGGCTCCTCCCGAGGGTTAAACAGCGTCCCCGGAGCTGCCTCGTAAGGCGGAGTCGGAAGAGCTCCCGGGGCGGAGCGACGGAGCTCCGTGTTGGTATACAAAGAGCGGTTGCACGTTGTCGAGGGGAAGCCGCGCCCTGTTCTTCCGCCGCTCCCCCTTCTCTGACGTCGCCGCATTCCGCCCTCAAAAGCGGAGGCATCGCCAGACATTCCCAGACCTGAGCGCGACGTTCCGCGAGAGCTGATGCTGCGCCTGCTGCTCGGCGGCTCACAATAGAGGAAAACACAAAAAACCAACCACCTCGCTAAGCGTCCAAGCCGCATACCTCACTCTCCGCCTCCAGAATTTTCGTCGTGATTCTTCTTGCTTTATTTAATAAAAGAACCATAAATTATTATTTTATACCGGCTTTTTTTTTACGAAACAATTTAAAACAAAACCTATTGCTGATATTTTAATTTTGTGTATATATATATATATATATATATATATACACACATATATATATATTTCTTACTGGGCCTTTTAATTGTTAATATCTGAGGGTTTTTGTCGTCGTTTTTTGCTTTCGTTGAAGAAGCGAATTAAATCGCGGAGATCTCAGAATTTTTTTTTGAATTTTAATTTTTGTGGGGTGGAAAGGAGATCCGGAATATCCAAGGCTTCACTGATCGAGGTAAAAAAAAATCTTCTTGGGCTGTTTCAGGGGGTTGGGGGAATCTGTGATCATGGGGAGGGGGCTGGTTTGCTGCTGTGGTAGCGAAGGCATGGCAACAACACAAAACCCCCCAAATCGTTCCTTTACGTAAGATTGGGTGTTAAAAAAAAAGACATACCCCAGCCAGCGTTACTGCATCTTTGGAGAGCTTGGGATGGGGAAGACCTACTAGAAAACAGGCGCTGCTGGTGCAGTCTTGTGACTGATTTGCATTTTTTCCATTTTAAAAATGCAGGGACCCCTCTTTTATTATTATTATTAATTATTATTACTATTATTATGAGGAAGGGTGGAAGGGAATGGCCAAGGAAAGGATAACCAGCAAGGCAGGGTGGTTAATGTACTGAAAGGGAATGTGACAATCACCCGACGGGGTTGCATCATTTTCCGTTCCGATGGGGTGGAGTTGGCTGGCCGCCCAAACCTGTACAGAGGTTTGTGTGTGTCCGTGTGTCATTTCTGGTTTGACACAAGTCGATTTTCGTGAACCTTCAACTAGCCTTTGCAACTTCGGGTTTCTCCTGGTTTAGTCTACCCTTTAAGAAGTCAACCCTTGTAATTAAAATGACTACCTTTAAATGTCTTGCGGGGGGTGGGGGGGAGAGTGGAGAGCAAGTGATGTATAGGTCGAAATGGATTGTTGGGCAGATATGTGGTGTTGTGTTGTGTTGTGTTGTGTTGTGTTGTGTTGTGTTGTGTTGTGTTGTGCAGTGCACCCCCTTGCCTTTCACACGCAGATCTTCCCCATTGGCGGGGGCTGCCGTGTCGAAGCTGGAGATTATCTTTGTTCTACTCTCTTGTACTTTTCCTTCCCTTGCCATCTCCCTCCTCCCTCCCATCTCTGCTGGTACTTTTCCACTCGCCTGGCTGCCTATGAATCAGCCGCGGTGAGCAGAAGCGGCGGCGGCGGCTGCTCACGTGACCCAATTCGGGAGGACTACTGCAGTATTGACGTTTCCCCCTTTTTTTTTTTTTACCTTCACAGACAAGGCAAGTCCAGCAGCCAAGGACAAAAGATCAAGAGGAGCCCAGGCTTGCTGCCACTATCCCAAATAGTTGATTTGCCTGCTTTTAATCCGGTACCCCCAAAAAAGGCATCCTGGATCCCATCATGACCAAAGCTGAAATGGGCAAGCTCAACACTACTCCTGATGAGGACAGCAGCAGCTACAGTTCCAACAGCAATGACTTCAACTACCCCTACCCAACCAAACCAGCTGCTATGAAGAGGTCAGAGATGTTTCTGTGCATTGCTTTAATAATAATAATAATAATAAATCATACACAGTCCAGTTCCTCTTCAAATCAATGACAAATCTCTGATTGATTTTGACGGAAGTGGATTTCAACCTTCATCCCCCAAATTTAAAAAAAAAATGTCGTAAGAATGGCCAGTATCTGTTTGTACGTACAGCAGCAAAAACCGAACCTTTCCCAGACCAAATCTTATTTTAAAATAAGCCCATTTGAAATCGGTGGATTACACAATAAAAAAACAACCACCCCAATGTTGTTTTATGTTGCTTTTTTAAAAAAAGTGATAATACTTAAGTTGCTTTGTTTTCCTTCTTTTCCCCCCTCTCACAGCCATTATGTAGACATGGATCCAGAAAACCAAAACTTTTTACTTGAATCCAATCCTGGGAAGAAGAAATATGAAACTGAATATGTAAGCATGCATCACTTATCTTTTTAGCATTGAGTACATAAGTGAAGACTAGGCTTCCCCCCCATCTGCAAATTAAAACCATTTGCAAATAATTGTTTCTGAACAAATTATTAACCACCTCCACCACACTTTTCTCTTATTCACAGCGTCCAGGTACTACTTCCTTTGGAATGTCAGTATTTAATCTGAGCAATGCTATTGTGGGCAGTGGCATCCTTGGGCTTTCTTATGCCATGGCAAACACTGGAATTGCTCTCTTTGTGTAAGTATTTGAATGCAGCAGAATTGCAGCATTATATTGTTGATGTTTGTGCATGCTAATATTTTCCATTTGCCATTTTAAAATGTAACTATGCCTAAAATGTAACCATGGAAAGGAAACTTGGGCTCAGTTGCCAAGTGAATGAACACACATTAGAACTCCCAGACTATCTGAACATAAACCAGTTTAATCCCACTGAGATCAGGAATGGATCCTAAGCATCTACCCATTTGGAAACAAGCTCTGTGGAGCTTGTTTCTCAGTGAACCATGCTGGAGATCAGGCTAAAATTAAGCATCCTTGAGAGCCTCAGTTGATGATTTCAGCCGAGAAGTTAAGCACATGTTTAAATCTCTCCTGTTAAAATAAATGGACTCAAAACAGTTTGTTGGGTTTTTTGCTGGATTTCACCTGTCCTACCCTGCCTTAGCATCTTTCAAAAATAGTTGTAAGGTGAAAGAAATATTTTTATTCATTCTAAGGAAGAAATTACATTACATGTGCATTTTCCAGTGCATTAAGGACTAAGTGTTTTCCAGTGCTTTTAAGTATTCCAGTTTCGGTTATTACCCATTACTGCCATTCATAAATGCATGCTTTCTCCAGTTTAAATGTCACTGCATGCTTCTCCAGCTCATGTGAAACCTCACTTATCCATCCTGATTCCTGGCCCATAGCTAGACTTGCATATATAATATCACAAGACATTTTTGTTCCTAGCAGCACAAAGTGCTTGTCAATTTCATCTCTACACTCTCTTGTCAATTTCCCCCCTTAAATTACTGTTTGCCTCAGCCTTGGGATACACACTAATATACCTTTCAGGTTAAAAATTGTATATATTCATAGTCCTTGAGGATTAAGAAATTGCAGAATAATTTTCTAGGCAAATAGGTTTGTAACTACGTGCTCGCTGGCATGGAAAACAAGGAGATCGCTTGCCTGTATTTAATACATGCATATTGTGTACAGTATATGTTTCCTGTAGAGGGCAGTGTATATTGAGAACATGTATCCTTGGAAAAGCAAAGCCAGTGAGAGATGGTCATAGTAGCATCTATTACAGTGGAACTCTTAGAGCAGGCATAGGCAAGCTCCGACCCTCCAGATGTTTGGGACTACAATTCCCATGATCCCTAGCTAACAGGACCAGTGGTCAGGGATCATGGGAATTGTAGTCCCAAACATCTGGAGGGCCAGAGTTTGCCTATGTCTGTCTTAGTGGGGCAAAAATACGGAGATCTAATTTTCTGATTTTTACACTATGAAGCCTTAATAGGAACCAAAGAAATTGCTCCATCCCAGGAGGAATGGTTTAAAATAATATTTATAAAGTTATGTCCCAGTGTGTACAACTATGTGTAAAAAATGATAGGCGCAGGGCTAAATATACACTTCAGACAGAATACTTCTAGGTGAAACATCTTGGGGATTTTTGTGATGGATTCATCCATCATTAGAAATTAATTTAAGAATCCTATGCAAGTACATTTAAAGTTGCATTTCTGTCTCACACAGGCACTCCCAACAGTGAGAGAGGTTCAAAAGCACTTTAAGGCCACCTTCCTATGCACACTTGTGTGTGTGTAAAGTCCCATTGGACTTGATAGGATTGCACTATAGGGCATACTTATGTTAAAGCTAGTGGCAGAGAACTTTGTAACGTGAAATCAGTAAATGTGCCTTATGTTGTATGTTTTTTTAAGTGGATGCAATGTTATCTTTAAACTCCTTTTTATGTGGCTCAACTTATTTACTTCTAAGCAGAACTTTAAGCATATTCAGAGTCTTTCAACTTACGTTTCTGTCTTCTCTGGTCTTTCAAAATGACTCTCTGACAGTCATTTAGAGATGACCCAAAATGCAGTATGCTGGTAATGTTGCTGTTGCCACCAAAACCAGCTTTAGTGGAAGCACATTTTGGTCTATGGCAGTTGATTCATTTTATATATCTCCCCGTATTGAACTCAAATGGGCTTTGCATTACATTTTGCCCTGCAATGTGTACCACTGGCATGCATTATGCTGATGGCATTGTAACCAACACAAAGCTGTCCTTTCGGTATGTGTGCATACTGAATCCAGTGTGTTGTTTTATCAGACAAAGTTTTAAGTTTTATTTATTTTCCATGGAAAACTTAATTTCTCCGAAATGTACTTTAAGGCGGAGTCCTAAGTGCAGAGTAGGTTTCATGGGTGTTGGACTTGCTTCCGAATAAGCATGTTAAGTCTTGTGGTGCTAGTTTTATGCACATCTACATGTGAGCAACTCCACTTAAACACAGGGGAACTTCTGAGCAAATCTGCCTTTGATTGGGCTATTAGTTTAAAGTCTTAAATAGCTCAGTTTTGTTTTGGAACAATTTAATTATCAGTGGCATCTTAAAAGGAAGAACAAGTTCCCACTAATATGCCTTTTTGCTATAGAGCAGTTGCTTTGTAGATTTCACGTTGGATGAAGAACAGATCTATATTTTTGCATAGATTTTGTGTATATGTTTAATGGTATTCAAGTATACAATCCCAGAAGCAAGCATATTAGCTTCCACTTGAATTTTCAAACATCTCCTATATAGTTTACCTTGATTTTTATCTAGATAGCTGTATTTTTGTTGATTATAATGATGAAGTTCTTATTGGTAGAATTTTTTTGTCTTCTGTAAAGACTCTGCAACAATGGGCATTCACGTTAACATAGCCATGAAGCCAAGTCTAATTGGGGGCAATCTGTAATCAGTTTGTCTATTTAGTTCAGCAGAGTGCGACTCCTTAGATCACTGGGATTTAAGCATGTGCTGGATTGCATCCATTTTATGAAAGGAAGTTCAATTCAAATAGCTGAACTATGTGCATTGCTGTATCTATGATCAGATTGGGCATTCCCATAAATCAACATGAGTATTGGATTGAGATGCTGGCATTTTATCATTATGGCTCCAATGCAGGAGATGCCAGTGTTTAATATTCTGATTAAAAAACCCAAAACTATAACCATTTTTGATTGTCTAAACTTAAGAGTCATGATCTCCATTTATTTTTTTAAGTACTAAAATGAACAGAAAAGAAAGGGAAGTAACATTTTGCTTCCCCTTTCAATATCTCAGATGTGGAGAACTGTTTGCATAGAAAGGGCTTGTGGTTAACCCAGCGTGAGTCTGAACTAGCTTAAAGGCAGGTAATCCACCTTTAGAGACATGCCAATGGGATCATATGTAATCCTTGTTGGGATGGTTTCTTATAACCTCCACAATAAAGAGCACCGCTGTTCTTATTACATTTATTTTAAGAATTATTTCAATATTTTCTTCAGGAATTATACGACCGCCTTTAAAACCAGTTATCATTTTATCACTTGTAAATGAAACTGGTCTCAATTAAAAAGTCAAGTGTGTACTTACATCTTCCCGGCTGAAATCACTGGGAAGTGCATCACTTTGGCAGAACAGAGCCTGATTTTGTTACTTTTTCTTGTTGCAGTTTAGATGCTTATTTCAGCCAAAGTAAAAGTTGTTTGTTTATGTGTGTTTTTTTAAAGAATTCTTCTGTTCTTCGTGTCAATATTTTCTTTATACTCCGTTCATCTCCTCTTGAAGACTGCCAATGAAGGAGGTATGTTAACATCTACTTGTGACTAAGAAATTCACTTCCCTACACTTTATACATTAAAAACATGTAACTGTAAATTACACTCTAGCAACTGCTCTGTTTCTTGTTGCTGTAGGGTCTCTGCTATATGAACAACTGGGAATGAAGGCCTTTGGCATGGCTGGGAAACTGGCAGCATCTGGATCTATTACCATGCAGAACATTGGAGGTGAGGTTTTTCAGATAAACGTCCCTTTTTACACTTTATAACAGTTTTCTTCTTTGTTCTGATGAGATGAGCTTGTCACACAACGTGTTTCCATTAGCAACCTAAAAGCGACACCAAGAAACATGTTTCTGTGGCTCTTATGTGCCATGCTCTCTATATGCATTGATGTACAATATCATTCACCTGCAGCTATGTCCAGCTACCTCTACATTGTGAAATATGAGTTACCAATCGTCATCAAGGCATTTTTGAACGTCAAAGAGAGCACAGGGTAAGTCTTCGAACTGCTCGGCAGAGAAACTGTTAGCAGGAACAGAAATAGGCATTGTAGAAATGTTATCTGATGTCTTCCGTTGAAACGTGTAAGAAGAGATCATGGTTGAGCTCCAGTTATACTGACCTACTTATTGAGTGGTCTGTTTGACATATGATACGGCCTATAGGAAAGGGGTTAGAAAAAAGCCTTGTTGTTTGACAAAATAGCAGGACATGTAAACAGGATCAGTGTTCACTGAATGGCCAGTCCAATTACTTCTTTGTTCCGAAAATGTAATCAAGCTGTAATTCCAACATGTTCTTAGAAGCCAGCATGTGTATGGTAGTTTTTTAACACTGCCTTCATACAAAATACTGCAGTGATGTTATTCTTGAATCAGAAGTAAATATTTGGGCTCAAGCATTCAGGGGCATGAGTTGTGTTTCTACAGGAATTCTAATACCATGATTAGAGTATGAGATTCCCCCATATTTTAGTGGAGACAATGCTTGCGACCCATTGAAAGTTTGCAATACCTAAACCTCATTGTATTCCTTAGACTGCAATCAGACTGCTAAGCCACATCCAACTCAGTGGTGCTTAGATTCATGTAGCTTTCTCTGAACTATGCTCATTGTATTTTTGAATAGCTATAAAGATAATAATTATTAATTTCTTTGGAAATAACCCTTTCCCATGTGGTTTCTCTGCCCACATAAAGAGGGCTTTCCACTGGGCATAGCAGTGCTCTTCCTTGGCATGTTTTGAATACCCATGTGCATGCAAGTACAACTTCATCCCATTAAAGTGTGTGTAAGGCCTCCTATATTCGCGCCCTCCCCCCGAGTCCTGTGCCATACCACTTAGGAAGTAAACTCCCATTGGACTCAGACTTGCTTCTGAGTAAGCATATTTTGGTTTAGGCTGCCAGGCCTTCTGAAGGTGTTAACTGGAGCTCAGTCTCATTGATATCTGTGGTACTTAATCCAATGTAGTTGCTGTGACCCAGCATAGCACAATCACTTGTGCACGAGAGGGTCTTTCCTATTGACAGCTGTAGAAAAGTACTCCCAAAAGACAGAAACGTAGCCATTAATGGGAACTCACTTGCATTAGGTACTCTGAACCAGTATTGCTGTCCTGTGTTTCTCTATTGCACTGTGATAACAATATAATATTTTTAAATTATAGATGTGATGACCACGCAGTTTTTCAACAAAGATGTATTTCTTTTCTTACAGAGAATGGTACCTCAACGGTGATTATTTGGTTATATTGGTATCCTTGTGGCTCATTCTTCCTTTGTCACTGTTGAAAAATTTAGGTAAGTAGGCACAAGAGATATAGATGAAACTAGGGTGAACAAATTGGGAAATAATGGCAATCCTCTTTGTGATTAACATGGTACCTGTAATATGGAAGCCACTTCTACATTCTGCTCGGTTTTACTGTGCATGGAGAGCTAAGTTGTCACAGCAGTTTCCTAAGCCCTCCTACTTGATGAAATACAGATATATGCCAATATGAAGGCAATATACTTGAGCATCAATTTTATATCCATTTGCCTGGTTGTAAGTTTTATTAAAGTTGGGGGGGGGCTAAGAAAGTATGAAAGAGCAGGATGACACCACCACATTAAATCTAATAGTGTTCTTATTGGATGTGTTGATTTGGGATAATAGAATGGATAGGAAATCCCAGACAATGGCTAAAACAAAGGTGTGCGCTTTCTAGTTGTTCAGTGATATTGAATCAATATATTAACAATATCAATTCCTGTAAATCTGTTCTCTTGGAAACTCACTTTTGAGTTGTGCAGACCATGCTACTGAATGTGCCATCTCCCAAATGTGTTACAAGGACTAACTTAAAGCATTTTTGTGTTACAGGTTATCTGGGTTACACCAGTGGATTTTCCTTGTTGTGCATGGTCTTCTTCCTTATTGTCGTAAGTGCAACATTTTCTATGCATACATTTAAGTGCTTAGGATATTTAATTCAAGTGAGATTGCTAGTGACTTCTGATTATGTCCAGTCATTATTTTATAGAACAAATGTATCCCGTGAAAGTAACAGGCAGTACTCTTTGTCATTCTTTGTTAGGTCATTTGCAAGAAATTTCAAATTCCATGTGGACTGGAAAGTGACTTGATTAATGCAACTCTGAATACCACCCTAGAACATCTGTCAACCACTGCACCTTTTCATGTATCGGAAGTAAATATAACCAGTGATGACCAATGCACACCAAAATATTTCATCTTCAACTCACAGGTAAATATTAATATAAGAGGGGGTGGGAGAAAATAATTGGCTATACTAATTAGAAATTTAATTGTGACTATTTTAAAGCCTCATTGACTGCTGAAAAATCCTTTTTCTCTTACAAGAGCACTGTGTACTTGTAGCAAGGTTCAGTGCTTCTTGAAATGTCCTTATGTTAAACAGGATATGACCGTAAGCTGGAGAACATTTTTGTCTTGGGCGCAAGGCTGCCAATAACTTAAGTACACTGCTGGCTTTTAACAACCTGAACAATCCGATCCCTATTTAGCAAATGCCTGTGTTTTGAATTTTTGTCGTGCAAAACAGCTATCTGGCCTATTGCCTATAAAGATGCATTGTGGGTTCTGAAGCTGTTGAAAGGCCCCCACTCCACTCAATGGAGCTTACTTTCAGGAAACTGTGCATAGGCTTGTAAGATGCATGACTGGTCCTGCTCCAGTCCAAGAACAATTTGTTTGGGGCTTTACCCCGGCTATTGTGAAGGCAGGCAGAGGCCAATTGGTAGGGGTGCCCACCCAATCGTAGCGCCCTCTAGCAGTCTGGACTGGAGGTTAGGATTACAGCCTTTCTGTGCAATCTTGCGCATGTTGATTTAGGTGTAAATCCCACTTTTTAAAAAATGAAGCTAGCTCCCTCATAAATCCTTCCCCAGTCTGATGCATCCCTCTACTGTGGACTATAACTTCCATAAGATCTAGCTAGTATAGACAACTGCCAGGGGTGGGAATTTTAACCCAAAATACCTGGAGTGTGCTTACTAGCACTGCAGCCTTAGCTAATGAAGAAATATACTTACAAGTTAATATTACAGAAATATTCATAAGTGCATTTTTTTTGTGTGCTTTTCAGACTGTCTACGCTGTACCAATCTTAACATTTTCCTTCGTCTGCCATCCGGCTGTTCTTCCTATTTATGAAGAACTGAAAGGGTAAGTAAGACTTGCACATGTTACACGTCAGCTATTTTATAGAAACAGGAATGGTGGAAGCACATAATTTCAGAATTGATAATACATTTTGTTCCTTTGAACAGGCGAAGCCGCAGAAGAATGATGAAAGTCTCCAATGTTTCATTTTTTGCCATGTTCCTCATGTATCTTCTGGCTGCTCTCTTCGGCTACCTGACATTTTATGGTGAGCAACTTCTCTTCTATTTCTGTTTCCTTTTTTTTGTACCTAAACGTTCTGCACACGTTTTGGCCAGACACAAACCAACCAAAATAAACCACCCTTAACGTTAATTTTGGTGGGAGAGGCACTAGTAATGTCCGACTGAAACCAGTGGGGCTTTAAAAGTGTTGAAAGTGCATGCGTGCTCTTTGCATCTTACGACTATGAATTTAATCTCAGATGAGATCCATGATGAACTTGTTCTCTAAATTCCAGTTAACTTATTTGAATATCATTTCTGAGTAATTTATTCAAAGGAGTGCAGACTCGCAATTTGAAATGCACTGCTAATAAGAAGCAAGTCTCATTAGATTCAGGAGGGCTTGCTTCTAAGTAGAGATGCTTAGGATCATGTTGCAAGGGGAGTGAATGGTCTTCGAAATGTGAGTGATGGCAAAACATAGCTCTCTGGTTTTATATGAGAACCAATACATGTAAATCAGTAGAACAAGTAGGGTTTAGAAGCATAATTGGAAAACTCCATTTGAGAATCAATTTGATATGTATTTAAACAGAGCACAGGGATTTTCCTGTTATATATATATTTTGCCATCTACAGTAATTAACATTCTATTAAAACACAATTTTCTTTGCAGGAAATGTTGAGCCAGAGTTGCTTCATACTTACGCTGAAGTCCTGGGAGCTGATGTTCTTCTCCTTATTGTTCGTCTGGCAGTCCTGATGGCAGTGACACTTACTGTGCCAGTTGTGATTTTCCCAGTAAGTGACTTAAGGTTTTTTCCCCCAGCTTCAACAGTAATTTGGAAATCAAGCTGATTTAGAACTTGTCTGCTAGTTGTGATTAAAAAAATTTCCAGTTGTGATTAAAAATATAAATAAATAAATCAAACATCATTTTCTGCTATTTCACCTTTCTGCATCAGTTTTTGTTCAGTGTGAAAGGCAAAGAGATCTTTTCCCACGGCTGTTAAATTGAAGCATTTTAGCTTTAAGCTGGTAGACTTTGAAAGAGAAGCAGCCTAAAAGTAAAGGCTTAAATCACAAGGAAAATTAACATTGGGAAGTTCACAGAAGGAAAGCTTCCTGCTCCATCTTTCCCTATGCAACCATCTGTGCGACCCCCACCCCACCCCCCCAACCAATCTTCTGCCAAAGCCTCTCCAAAGAATTGGAAGGCCCTCTTGAACAAGTTGAGATGGAAAGAGGAGGAAATTGTGAACTTTCCTTCTGCAAATTTTCTTAATTCAAACTTACCTTAGGATCCAACCTGAAACCTTTGGCTATCTATAGGTAAAGGTAAAGCGACCCGTGACCATTAGGTCCAGTCATGACCGACTGGGGTTGTGGCGCTCATCTCGCTTTATTGGCCGAAGGAGCCGGTGTACAGCTTCTGGGTCATGTGGCCAGCATGACTAAGCCGCTTCTGGCGAACCAGAGCAGCACACGGAAACGCCGTTTACCTTCCCACTAGAGCGGTACCTATTTATCTGCTTGCACTTTGACGTGCTTTCGAACTGCTAGGTTGGCAGGAGCAGGGACCGAGCAACGGGAGCTCACCCCATCGTGGGGATTTGAACCGCCGACCTTCTGATCAGCAAGTTCTAGGCTCTGTGGTTTAACCCACGGCGCCACCCGCGTCCCGTTGGCTATCTAGAAGGAAAAATTCAAAATGGATTTTCCCCACAGGCTATCCCTCTCACTCATTGTTACAATGTTGTAAACATTTCCAAAAGTTTGAAAAATGTACTTTGAATGTGATTTTAAGGTGTTGTTTTTTTAAAAAATGATTTTAATAAACTTTCATTTATTTTACAGATCCGCAGCTCTATCACACAGTTGTTGTGTTCAGGGAAAGAATTTAGTTGGTGGCGCCATACTGCAATTACAATGGCTCTTTTGGTATTCACCAACATTCTCGTGATCTTTGTTCCCACAATTCGAGATATATTTGGATTCATTGGTAAGGATTCTGTTGTTCTCGGTTCTTCTTGCTGTCATTTTCTAAAGCTTTTTTTAAAATAATAATAATCAGAATACTGTAATAGAAATGTTGACCATTTGTATTCACACAGGTGCCTCCGCTGCTGCCATGCTGATCTTTATACTACCATCTGCTTTCTACATTAAGCTAGTGAAGAAAGAACCAATGAAATCTGTTCAGAAGATTGGGGTGAGTAAAGAGAAGTGCCCATTACTATCATACTTGTCTAGCTTGATCAGTAGAATCGAAAAACGCCAAGAGCTATTTGGCTGCATGAGCAGAGTGACTATCAAGCATGCTAGTCATGAAAGAACAACATTGAAACATTTATGCATTTATGGAGAATTAGGTTGCTGGAAATGTACAGCTAATATAAGATGACTAAGGGAGTTCTTGAGTTCTTAACTAGCAGCAGACATTTTATCACGGATTCAAAGGGAATAACCATCAGTGTGTAAAGGAACTGTACAATAAGCCCGAGTTCCTTGATAGGTTTTCACAGCTACATCTCCCACAACAGAGAAGGCAAGATGTGTTTAAAGTTTTGTCGTCTTGGTTTTGGGAAATGCAGCACTGGAGAGAAAACTGTGAGCCCCAGCTGTGTATGCAAGTTCCCTTATGTGTGCATAATTGGCCCTTTTCTTTAGCAAGTTCTATTTGTTTCTGGCAAAATCCTTCAATTTTTTTTATATAATGTCTTTGTAGGCTCTTCTTTTCCTGATCAGTGGCATATTTGTGATGACTGGAAGTATGACCTTGCTCATTCTGGATTGGACCAGCAATGCTGCTTCTAATGGCCATTAGCTATCTGCTTTGGACTCCAGTGCTTACAGAACCATCTACTGAAAACAAACAACAGAACTTCTTACCCACGTTTGCAATTCTGCTTCCTTTCGAAATGCAGATTCTTTGATGCTGGTTCTTCTGAATGGAGAATAGGTGAACTTTTTTAAAAAAAAGATACTATTCTGCACTATGGGAATCGATACTAACATCAAACCACCTGAATCTTTGGCTGAGGGAAGTGACTATTTATTCCATTCCAGAGAATGGACAGCTCTCTCTGTAAAATTTTATCAAGCCATGTTTGGCTTTTGTCATTGTTACTTGGATATTTTATTGTTTTACTTGAATGTGCCTAATGGAAACAATTGATGTGAGAAATAAGTTAGTTTACATCAGGAGGGTAAGCTAACCATTGAAAGTGAATGAGAAAAACACTATTATTTTTGTACCAAAAAATTTATGGACCTCAAAAGCACTATTTTGACTTTAAGAAAATGTTTTGTAAGTTGATGATCCAAATAAGGGTAAAAAGAAATCCGTAAAACTGTTTAAGCAGAGTTCTAAATTCAACATGTTTTGCCTGCCTATAGAGGCATATCCTTAAAAGTATATTTTTGGCCATGTGAAATTATTTTTGAAACCTATTATGTGAAAGGTTGATTAATTTGAAAGACTCAAAACTGTTTAATGATTTCTACACATAACTTAGTTATTCTAACCTAAAAACAAACAAAAATATGTTAAGACAACCCCATGGCAATATTTCTAATCCAACCAACATAAACCACCACACTCTTTCAAGTAGCTATTTACTCAAATTGTCATGTTTTAAAAAAGATTTCATACCATTAGAATGGATGATGTATTAAAACAATTTATATGTAGCAAATGTAGCATCCAATCCAATTAGTGCTACAACCAAACAAGACCCTTGAAATTAATGAGGGATGCATAGGAGCAGTATTTGGCAAATTACTGAAAGTACAATCCTAAGCATTTTTCTTCTTGAGGTACTCAATAGTGCAGTTATATTAAACAAGTGGGCTATTATTATTATTATTCAGTTGCAGGTACCAACCAAATCATGTTGGGTCATTTGCCATTAATGTGGAGTTCACATGATCCAGCGACAATTTTACACATTTTAGCTTTTGTTTTTGTTTTTTTGAAACAAGTAAAAATGAGGTCCTACTATCGTTTACTAGCAGTATAACAGTATTCACACACTGTATGATGTTTTTCAATAACCAGTTTTCATCCATTGTTGGATTTTAAATTATTTTATGTTTTTGTTCCTCTCTGACAATGTGATATTCCTAATTGCATATAGTACGCCAGGATTTGGTGTATATGGCAAAAGCTCTCTTCATAAGGCAACTGGGATTCCTAATGCAACGGATATTGTACAGCAGTCTTTTAAAATTACTATTATTATTATTATTAAGACTTGATGGGACAACACTGTCATCTCATATTTTTCTGATATAGGCATGTGCTGTTTGAGCCTTAAGTAGTTTGCTTTGAAAAGGAGGTGGTAATTCTGTGGTCACTGAGTGCTTGATCCTTCCCTGTTTGCAAAGAGATCACCATAGAGCATTAAAGAGCCCTTCCTCTGTGTGCATTTGGCATACTGGGACATTACAGGAAATGGAAATTCTTCCATGTACTTACCATATCCCGTCCAGCCCCTCTAAACTAGGTCAGGGTATACAAGAAGAACATGGTACGCATATACAGACCAGTGGGGCCAGGGCTTCACACCCAGTGCAACCAAACCAGTCGTGCCCCCCTAAATTCAACTCTGTACAGACTTTCCGTTCCCCATCTTGCCCTACAAGTATATCGCTGGGCAGCACTTTTGCTGAGTGGGGAGAATAACTCTGCTCTTATTAACACTCCATGGTGATAAATCTGTGTGTCGGTACTACACCTGCATAGGTAAGGATCATACACTGCTCAGTTACTATGCATGTTCCCAGGCTGAAGAGATGATATATTTTCATAAGAGCACATTCAGCACCACTTAACAGACACAGATGCTGCTCTAAAGGACGGTCTGAAAGAATAAAGACAGGCAGAGTTTTAACAGCGAAGTCCTTAGTAGACGGCTTTCCGCTATGTTCATTTGGCATAATAGTTTAGAAATCTAATTTAGCTGATTTCAAGCAGTAGTTGAGTTATAAGGGTCAAATCGTGGCATGCAATTAGCTAAACAACACTGGCCTTTTTCCTTTTTCTTTGAAAAAAAAAGGTTTTTTTAATAGTTGGCAGATTACTGCCACTCTGTCCCAGGTTTTTACAATCTGCCAATGCATACCTTTTTGTTTTGTATTTCTGCATGGCAACTGCCATCCCCTAAGGCTGCAATCTTGATTCCATGGAGGTCACTATCAAGAGAAACCTGCCTTACTGAAAAGTGTCTACTTTTTCCCCTTTACAAGTTACAAATGGCTTGACATTTTGAACTCAAGCCATTGTCCTGGGCAGGGCAATACGAACTGTACTTGAATAACAGTCCCGATAATCTCTTTTGTTAGAGAAACCATGTAACCAACAGCCACACCCATATGTGAAACTTTGCTTTGGTCTGTACTTATAACACCCAAACAGAGACCATCTTTGAGTTTTCAAAAATCAATTATTTTCAAAGCAATGGCTTGGTATAATGTCAGATGCTATTTTTATTGGTTTATATCTCAGAACCACCACTGGCTTCGGTGTAATCCATTATACATCTGTGCATGGTATAATGAAAATGACATCTCTCTTTCCCTGCAAATTAGTCTAGTGGTACTTGGCTTTCATATTTTGCATACTTCTGAAAGCTGATAAGATGAGCCTCTGTTAAAATGGCAGCTCTTCCAATTTAACCATTCATGTGGTTCTTGTAAAAAATACTAGGATTCCCAAGTACCGTCAAGATATCAGAATGGTACAGGGAACAAATGAGCATTTTTTCCAAACACCCTTGAGAGCATTTGTAACCAAGAAGCTAAGTTCATTGGTTCATCTCAACAGCTGGAAGAGTGGCAAAAGTAACAGAAATTACATGACTACTAACGGTTGCATTTCAAAGGAGTCATTGCTGGATCAGAGATACCTCGACAGTACACTGTGAATCATGCAGTTTAGTGTCATTCAGTAACTAAAGAGGTCTCCTGCCTGACCTTGCTGTGTACCACTAGGCTATATTGATTTCTAGTGTCTGTTGTAAACCTGTCTCTTTAGAGGTTTCATCGAAGCTCACAGTTTCAGTATTAAATTAAAACACTGTTTGTCACCTAATTTTTAAATTACTGTCTTCCATGTTATTTCATTCATAAAATGTAACATGTTATTTATAGAACAATAACCTGTTGAAGTTAAAACCTATTTTTCAGTATTTATGGGTAGCCTTTGTATATAAACTGTGTGTGTATATATTGTAAGTATATTGTATATAATGTAGGTTGGGAGTTTGTGTTTATGTATATAAGCTTTCGTTACGATTCATGGCTAATGCATTATGTCCATGACTCATTCCTGTTATGCATTCAGTTGAAAGAGCTATCAGATGGAAGTCTCCAGAGAAATAATTATGGCTCCCCAAACGAAAATCCTGTGCCCTCAAATTGTCTAAGGACACAAGAACATTTAAAGACCAGGGCTGGCATCTAAAAGTGTTTCCATGGACGTGATAGTCCAATGAGGGGTTCCCCTCCCTTTGAACCACACACAACATTGCACACTGATCTGAAACTTCCCTTGCTTTCAAAAGCAGTTTGCTTTGTGGGATGGAAGCTGTGATGGTTCTTTCAGAAAAAGAAGTCTAGATTCATGCAAGGGCTTTGCAGTGTGAAGGCAGTTCGCTGCCCCCTTGTAAGAGGGAAATGCGAAGCCCCTGTGTGCATGAAGTTATTGACTGGGCCCCTTATTCGTTACAACTGTGTACACTGCATTAAACATCAGAATCTCTTGGATCCACAGAGTGCAGGCTTTCAGAATACAGTTTGCCACAGATGGTTTTTCAGTAACTAGTTTTAAAATCAATATATCAAGCCTTCATGTACAGGTATGATAATATTTGTATATATTGTATATGTATATATAGAGAGAGATACACACTGTAATGTTAGATCAACAATTAAGGGACAATTGTTGAAAAAGAGTGCTACACAGTTTCAATGAAACATTGTATGTTTTAACTAAACTAAAATAAAGATATAATCTTAAATTGTGCAAGTCTGAACTTATTTTTCAAGTATAGATAATATAGCTATACAGTGCCAAAGGGACTCTTAAATACCAGGTATAGACACTAGAGGAAATGTGCCCATGACAATTTGCTCCCATCAGACTTCCAACTTGTCCCAAAGGACAGCTCCATGCAAACAATCTACTTTTGTGAGATTGCACAGATGGCACTCAGTTTTTCCTCCCTAGAGGTTCCCAAGAATTGTGGGATATCTTCCAAAAAGAAATTCTGTCCTTTGTTTGGGCTGCAAACACTGATTCTTTCAACCATCCCCTTGATAAACATGAATCTTACTGCTGGATCTTAAAGGTAAAGGGACCCCTGACCATTAGGTCCAGTCGTGACCGACACTTGGGTTGGGGCGCTCATCTCGCTTTATTGACCGAGGGAGCCGGCGTTTGTCTGCAGATAGCTTCCGGGTCATGTGGCCAGCATGACTAAGCCGCTTCTGGCGAACCAGAGCAGCGCACGGAAACACCGTTTACCTTCCCGCCGGAGCAGTACCTATTTATCTACTTGCACTTTGATGTGCTTTTGAACTGCTAGGTTGGCAGGAGCTGGGACCAAGGAACAGGAGCTCACCCCATTGCAGGGATTCGAACCGCCGACCTTCTGATCAGCGAGTCCTAGGCTCTGTGGTTTAACCTACAGCGCCACCTAGAATGTGTTAAACCTACCAAACTGATTTCTTTATCCACCTTAATACCACTCCCTTGATTGTTTCCTGAAAGTCTGAAGCATTTCTCCCCAGTGATGGGTTTATTGAAGTACTTCATAACAGCAC